GGCACATCCTTACTGCAAGGGGTCGTCTGAATAATACAGCCCTCAGGAGCTTGGCTTTGAGGGGCAGCCAGGTTTACCCTTGAAGCACACTTCTGTTACCTCCAGCTGTGTGGGTGTAAGCAAGGCATTTAATCTCTCAGAAAACTATCCTTATGAGAGGTAAAAAACCTCTGAGAAAAAAAGTTAGACAAGAATTCATAGTCATTCTTCACTATTGAGGCTGCAGGGATGTCATTTAATCATGTTTGTAAAGTGCATAACATACGGTCTGACACACCCCAGCTGCTCCCGAGTTGGCAGCAATTATTCCCGACATCACTCATGACAATTGGGCCTGGAATGGGGATGGAGGGAAGGCAGTGCAGAGGGTTTCAGAGGGTTAAGAAAAGAGAGACTTTAATGATTTAAAATGAAGGCCTGGGAGTGGAGGCGAGCATCCTGGGACATTCTCCTGCCAACTCTCACAATGTCTCAGAAACTGTTCCAAGGTGAAATCTACTAGAGAGCTAAGGGAGGAGTCTGCAGAATCAATGTCATGGACAAGGCAGTGGAGAATCAGTGGGGAAGGAAGAGAGCTGAGCTCATTTCAGGGGTGTTTATTATCTTCTGGCCCTAGAGTCCTTGGCCATCCTTCTATGACCAGGGCCTCAGATAAGCAGAGAGCTTATCTGCTTCTCCCCTCCAACCATAGTTCCTGGTTATCCTGAGCCCAGGTTAGTGCAGCTGTGGCCTTTGCATTCTATGAGCCTATTTGACTCCCCTTTGTGCTCAATTGACTGACCTGGAGGAAACAGTAGGGGGTTCCCCTGCTCTCTGTCCCCAGGGTCCCTTCCGTTCAGTGGCACCAGCCCAGCCCTAATGTCCATCCATCTGTGCCTGCCCAGTCAGGCCTCCATGCAGCCCACTGTAATGGCCACAGGTCAAAAACTGATTGTCAGTCTTGAGCAGATTGTCCTGACTCTTTCTGCAAAACTGAGCATCTCACCCAGCACCAGGACATCACAAGCAAGGCCAGCTGTAAGAAGGCAAGCAGGAGAGTAATGTCCATCACAAAGGAGTTCTGCTGGGACACATTCTGATGACGTCTCTCAAAATGGTTCAGGTGTCTGCAATTGCAGGCCCAGAGAACAGGACTGCAGGCTGGAAGATGTGATCCCTTTCTCCTGTACACAAAGCAGTGCCATGTGTGCATGTGTGTAAATGCATATGCTGTGTGTGTGTGTGCATGTGAGTAAATGCATATGCCTGTGTGTGTGCATGTGTGTAAATGCATATGCCTGTGATTGGTGTGTGTGCCTGTATGTAAATGGATATGCTGTGTGAGTGTGTGTGCACGTGTGTACACGAGCATGTTGGTGTTGCCAGGGAGTGCTGGCAGTGTCAAATGTCCCAGACTCAAAACTTTTCTATTTTTCTCACTTACCTTCTCCCTCAGACGTGCTTCTGGGTCAAATGAGTTCATGTGGGCAAGGCCCACAAACAGGCAAGGCACAGGCCATAGTCACTGCTGAGTCAGTGTCATCAAATATTGTTATGCTTATATAGAACCTTGTCCAGGATGGGCCACAAGTACACATCCTGACAGAGCAGCAGAAGGGGGACTGAGACACAACAATGGCCAGGGCCCTGGCAACACGGAGACACCTTCCCACCCTGTGAGCTTCACAGACAACCGTGGGTATAGGATACCGGCATTCCTTTAAGATTGTTCTAATAAACAGTGACAATCACTCCCCTATGAGACATGAGAAGAAGAATTCCACACGAATCAGCCCCATAAAGCCCACACTGAAGCCTGCTGAGTTCTCTCCAGTCCAGCGCGATGGACGAAGCATTTTCATGGGGACTTTTGAGAGTACGGAGAAGGCCTGAGGAAACCACGCTCAGCTGTGGGCTCCAGAGACAAAGCTCTAGGATGTCTCCCCATGCCTAGAACATTCACCTGCCACCTCTCCTCACTCTTTGCACAGATGCTGCCCCAGGGAAAGCCTCCACAGGACCCTAAGCCTAGTCCTGACCCTGAGCTCAGCCCAGGTGATGCTTCAGGAGATGGGACCCTAATAATGAGCCTCAAAGTCTCCTCAACCTGTAGGCTCTGTGGTTTCCTAAAGACTCAGCTATCCCCAGTAGAGATGGCCATGACACACCTGTCCCCACCTGCACAGGAGACAGTGGAGCAGGCAACAGTGCAGAGAGAACCAGCAGGAGCCAGGCCAAGCCCTGCATCCAAAGCAGCCCCCAATTCTCACAGATTCTCCAGCTCTACCCTGGGGTACAGCCCCCACTTTATGCAGGCTGAGGTGGGCTCCTCAGCATGGCTAGGCTATGACAGGGGACGTCAGTGTGTTCACAGGACACATCCCTGAAGCCTGCCTGGCCCTGATGCCCCCTCCCTGCCCACCCTGGTTAAGCTCTACCCCGAAGTGCCCAGGTTCTGAAATCCAGACACCTGGGTCAGCTCCTGGACTTGCCCCCACTGTTTTCTGTTCTTCTGAGCCACTTAGTCTCTTTGGGCCACAGTGTTACCTGCTGCAAAGTGAGGAGGCTTATACTGAGCTGAAGAAGCCCTTTTCTTCATTCAAAATTAAAAGACAGAAGAGCAATGAATGTCATATTAATTAAAGCCTGATGAGGGGATGTCATTCAATGGACTTCAGTGGGTTTCAGACATGGAACTTCTTGTCTTTCCTCTGCAGGGATTCCAAGAAACGAGCTCAAAAGATCTTGTTTTCTGTATGGTGGGAACAGCAGCCCCCAGCTGAGAATAAGCAGGAGAGTCCCAGTTTCATCAGGAAAACAGACTAGGTTAGTGTAGAAATCCTCCCGGCAAAAACTCTGAGAAGTGTGCAATGAAATAAACATAAACATGAAATTGATGGTGCTGATGACGGTGATGTTCGCTCACAACAAAACTGCAGTGCAAGAAACATGCGGTGATTGCACTGAATCATAGCTACTCTCATTAGGTGGGAGGTGCACCAGTTTGCATCCTAAGTGCATAGAAAGCCTGGGTCCCCGTAGGATGGCACATGCACTCTCTAAACATTGAAACCTTTGCAGAAGAGCTTCAATTAACTCACTCTAATTAGTCCTGACGGAACAAAACCACTAGAGGAGGGCATTTCAACCATGAGACACTTTTATAGCAATTGCACCTGCCCCACCTCCCTGCACTGCATGTGTGACCTCTCTGCGCTGGGCTGGGCAGGGCAGATTGGGTCACACTGGCACAGAATGGGGCTGGACTCTCTGGTCCTCAACTTCTGAGACGACAGGTGCTGTGGGGTCACCTGGAAGAAGGAATCTCCTGGGCTGAGTCTCCTCCACCAGCTGGGGGCAGCAGAGCTGCAGCCAGGAGCAGTCAGGAGAGAGGCTGGGGCTGCCCAGCTGGGGCAAAGAGGAAGGCCAGCCTGGGGTTCAACAGGTGTCCAAGAATCGGTGTTCAGACTGAAAGTGAAGACAGTTTATCCTGGGGTTCAACAGGTGTCCAAGAATCGGTCTTCAGATTGAAAGTGAAGACAGTTCATCCTATCCCCTCGGCCTGCAGTGGCCATGTTCCGAGGGTCAGACTCACACAGTGTCAGCTCAGAACACTGACAGAAGCCTGGCACAGTGAAGGCCTCACCTGGGAAATGCAGCTGGAGGAGGCTGGAACCAGGTGGCAGCTTGGGCAGCTTCCTCAGGAAGGGGATTCCCTGGGAGACGTCCGGAGATCGAATTGGTCTAGGAGGGGGCACAGTGTGAGGTGACGGGGCTCCCAGGGCCCAAGTCCTTCACCCAGGATGGCAGCCTGAGCCTCTTGCCACTCTCAGGGCCACGTCCCTCCCTCTCCGGCAGTGTCCTGGGGAGCTGAGCTCTCTGTCCTGGGCACTTCCAGATACATCTTCCCTACCCTCCCTCTGCCTCTCCTTCCTGATCCAGGCTGACTCTGACTCAGGGGGCAGCTCCTGTGCTCAGGGGAGTCTCAGGTGGATGGGGTGAGGAATCTGGGGCCCTGGTCCCTACATGGGGCATCCCCAGCCTCCTTGAGGTGACATTTTTCTGAGGGACGGGGCTTCTCCCCTGCCTCAGGCCACAGCTCTGACCACGGGGCTGTCCATGCTCAGTGACAGGACACTGACCAGGGATCTGACTGAAGTGGCCAGGAGCCTGGCTGGAGTAACCAGGGGCCACCCACCTTCTGGAGCTCACATGCTGTCCAGAGACCATGACCCTGGGACCCCTGCAGAGACCATGGGGCCTAAAGTTAGATTATCAGTCCAGCGTAGTTTTCTCCTGCTTTTTGCAAGTTTACATAAAACATTGATGAGAAAAACATACATCAATAACAGACAAGCTGAGGGTGCCAATTGCTAATCTCTTGTGGCAATGAGGGGTGATGTAGAAGGAGCAGCACCATGGCTGAAATGAGACCAGAGGCCCTGTTGACTCCACAGGTGTGTGTGCTTGCTTAAATGACCCAATTATTCCTACTGAAGTAATTAGCAAGTGTCCTGATGACACAGCACAGCATTTAAATGGAATGAACAAGAGGGGACTGAGTCTGAGGGACCAGCAGGAGGAAGATGATGGGTCCCTGGTCCACCTGCTGCTGAGTCAGGTGTCATCATGATCTCTCAGCAGAGCCCAGCTCAGCCCTGCTGAGGTAGGCGGTGGGCCCAACTCCAGGCCAACCTTCTGGAAGGTCCACAGCTCTGCTGAGGCTGGCCAAGGACTGAATCCTGGTCAGGGATGATTGGGAGGGTGGTCAAGAGGTCAATTCCCAGGAAGATGACTGTGATCACGGGGCTTGAAGGCTGCAGCTGATTTTCTAACTAGACACTATGCTTCTTCCTCCTGTCGCCTGTGCTGCCCCCACAGCTGGTTTGAGTGACATCTCACCAGGAGGAGTTGCAGTGGATGTAAATTTGCATAAACACCAAACACTGACTGTCCCCAAAAGCCTGAGGGAATAAAAGAGGTCTGGGGAGCCCAGCTGTGCTGTGGGCCCAGGAGGCAGAACTCTGGTGTCTCGCCATGGCCTGGATCCCTCTCCTGCTTCCCCTCCTCACTCTCTGTACAGGTGCTGACCCCTGGTCCTGCCCCAGACTCAGTCCGCACAGATCCCAAGTTGAGCCTACCCTGAATCCTGAGCAAAGCCCAGACACAGCCTCTGGGTGGGACTCCTGGGAATGGGTCCTTCATCTTCAAACCCCCTCTCTTGTTCTTCCTTGCAGGCTCTGAGGCCTCCTATGAGCTGACACAGCCACCCTCGGTTTCGGTGTCCCCAGGACAGACGGCCAGGATCACCTGCTCTGGAGATATACTGGCAAAAAAATATGCTCAGTGGTACCAGCAGAAGCCAGGCCAGGCCCCTGTGCTGGTGATATATAAAGATAGCGAGAGGCCCTCAGGGATCCCTGAGCGATTCTCTGGCTCCAGCTCAGGGACAACAGTCACCTTGACCATCAGTGGAGTCCAGGCAGAAGATGAGGCTATTACTGTCAATCAGTAGACAGCAGTGATACTTATCCCACAGTGTCACAAGCAGACAGGGAAGTGAGACATAAACGCCTCCTCCTCTATTTCATCCTCTTCCTCCTGTCCCAGAAGACACTGTGGACAAAACCATGAACATGATTGGCCCAATTCACCCAAATTTGATACCCACAGGCTGTTGTTCCCTCCAGCCCTCCAGGCAGGTGCTGCAGAGGACTCAGTCTGGAGTGGATTTGTGTCTGGCAGGCCAGGCTGTCCTCTGTTTCTTTGCCTGGGGTTTGAGTTGTTGATGGAGGGTCTGAGTGAAAAGACAGACCCAGGGAGACATCCATGCAGGCATGTCCAGAGGGCCATGGGGAACTCTCAGGTCTCAGTTCAATGCAGTCATTGTTGTATCCTCTGGGAAAGCGTTCCTCCAGTGCGCCTAACACCTCTAGATCCACGGAGCCTGAGATCGAGGAGAGGATGTTAAACTTTTGCTGATGGATCACTAAAGACATTTTTGAGTGGAGCCACTACAATTTACTCCTTGATTCTGGACACATGGATCCTGACTGTGGGAGAAACAGCACCATATTGGGCACTGATGCACAGCACATGCCCCATCCTGGAAGTCATTGCCCAATCCTACGCACACTTGCCACTTGCCTGGCACAGTAATGGAGTCTCCAAGCCGTCATTAATCTATTCATATATGCCACATGTCTCAGAATATTTGGGACAATAGTAAGACTCTTGAATGCCTGGAGAAAATGCCCATAGCCCTTTATTTGCTGTGAAATGAGTTCCTTGGTCAGAACCTCCTTTGGAATACCATCATGATGGGTGCATCGTTCTATAATCCAGAGATAACAGTTTGGCGGAAGCACTGCTGTCAATGAAAGCAAATCCTCTGTAGAGTAACTGTCAGTTCTAGCAAGAAAAATGAGCTATTCCTGCCATGATGGAAGAGTGCAAATAAAATTAATATCAAGCAGGCCTCTGGCTGTTTTCCACAGAGAAGGACATCCAGTGGGATCTCTGTGTTAGCTTCTGCTTTTGGCAGATGGTCACTCAGCAGTGGCTACAGCCAGGCCAGCTCCAGTTCATGGAAATCCACATTGATGAGCCCAAGGACAGCCTCAATCCCTGCCACCATGGGTGCTTTTATATGGAACCCATTGGGCAATGACAGGAGTGGTTGAGGGAGGCTTCCTGGTGTCCACAGAACAAGTCACACTACCCACTTGATTAGCAACATCACTTCATTTTCACAGAAAACTTGGTGAATATGGACATATGGAAAAAAATTCTCATTCTTTCTGCCCACCACAGGACGTCTACTCCCACACCTCTTCCCGGACATATTTGTGATCAATATTCTCACTGTGTCTCTCTCAAGCCCCTGAACATCCTTGACCATTGTCCAAGACCCCAAGTCACAGCCCATGAAATAGGAACCTCTGCCCATCTCTTTGCAGGTGACATGAACCAATTTCACTGCTTAAAATTCTGCTTTAAGGAGAATATTCTTCCGCCACTGCTGTTCAGGTCTCCTCAGAGGCCAGGTGGAGTACCAGCACTGTCCACACCAGTGGTGGCTGCATGTCCTGCAGAAACCTCTGCAACCCCAGGCTGAGTGCCTCCTCCCAGGCAGCTGATCTCAGGGAGCCCCTCAGAAGGCCAAGGCTGTAAGGTGAGAGGATGGCATGGTGCAGGGCTTGGATCATGTCTACTTGGCCAACTCTTCACGCAATTTACTTGGTCCTCGTGACCTAGTCCCTCAAGTCACAAATACATCCCTGCCATGTGATTGAAGAGCTGCTGGAAATGGCCAGAAGACCTTCCATTAAACATTCAATAAATTACTCTGTAAATGGCCTGCCCAAACCCTAAATTCAGTTCTGGGTTGGGACCTTCTGGGAATGGGCCCTTCATCCTCAAGCCTCTTCTCCTCTCCTCTCCTCTCCTCTCAGCCCTGTGCATCCTATATGCAGAGATAGCTCGTCTCAGTGTTTGTGGCCCTGGGACTGACAACCAGGATTACGTGCTCTGGAGATAACCTCAGCATAAACATGTACTTAGGAACCAGCAGAAACCAGGCCAGGCCATGGTGCTTGTCATCTAGCATAACAGCAACTGACCCTCAGGGACGTCTGCCCAATTCTTAGGCTCCAACTCAGGGAACATGGCCACCCTGACCATTAATGGAGCCCAGATCCGGGATGAGACTGACTATTACTGCGCTGCAGATAATAACAGTGGGAGCAGCTGGCAGGGATTCATAGTAACACAGAGAGATAGGGACTAGCCACATAACTGTTCCATCTCAGCCTGGCTCTCATTCTTACCTGACCTCTAAGCAGCTGTAGATCAGGCCTCAGGGTCAGGTATCGTCTCTGGTCTTAACCTGACACCTGCAGGGCTGGTGATTCTGACTGGCTTCTCCATCCTCTCAGGGCCTGCATGTGTCCAATGAGAAGGGAGAGGACAGGGGGAGGCTGGTCAGAGCTGCAGGGAACTTTGTCAGGTTTGTGGTGCACATGAACACTTTAGAAATCCACGCAACATGGTGTGGCCCCAGATGTAATCACACATCATGCGGGAGAGGAGAGAGGCGTTGCAGAGGGTATAGTCCTGTGGAATTCTCTTTTCCTTTGGTATACTAAGCTCAGTGCAAGCCCCAGGGACTGTGTCTCCTCTGGTTTCCAGATGAGTTGACCCCCATATTCTTAATGGGGTGCCTGAGGCCTGAGGAAGACCGGAGACCCAGCTCCCTTTGGCCCCAGGGCCCTTTCTGTGCTAACATTTCACAGAAACTGAAGACAAAGCACAGACACTACCTTTGGTCCTGCCTGGGGACTGTCTTTGGGGCACACTGACCTCCCATGGTCCTCAAAGTCCCATCACCTTCTCCAGATGGGTCAGACCTGCCTGGGTGTGCCTCCAGCGCCCTGATAGTGTGCAGTTTATCTTTGGGCTCTGGGCTGCTTTCTGAGGAGCTCACTAAGAAGTCCTGGATGCCAAGCCCAGGACCTGCCCCTCTGCTGCATGCCCCAGGGCTGCAGGTGTGAAGGAAGGATCCTGCTGGGTGAGGGTGGTGACCTTTTCCAGGAAACATGTCTGATTCCCATCTCCTGGGCCAAGTTTATTGGGATTTCTTTTCTCACATGGAAGGTCTCGGCCTTTTTATTTCCTTCTAAAAAAGTACAACTGGTTTAATCGTGAAATCATGTGTATACACAAAAGTTTACAGACTATTGTCATCAGCTCATATATGTACTCTTTCTGGATGGGACAACTGTGGACACGGCCATACTAGGGTCTCTCTCTCTCTCTCTCTCTCTCTCTCATTATCACAAGTGGGAATACTAACAGCTCTCTCCTATGCAGATCGTACTCATGTTTCCCAGTTGCACAAGAATGTCTCTTACAGTTGTTTAATTTCCCTACCAGCCAGGACCCTTAAGTCTTCCAGGTTGATATTTGGTTGCTGTTTCTCTCTGATCCAATATTTTTCAAATGTTATATTGCTTGGAACCCAAGGCTCATGAAACATTTCACCAAAAGTTCCACAAGAAAAGCTCAAGTTTCTGATACACTGTTGGACCAGGTTCATTGCGTGCAGTAGGACCTTGCTCAAGGGATGAATCCATTTGATGTTTTCACCATCAAGGGGAAGGGTGTTATGACTTTTGGGCACTGGGTTGACAGAGGGGAAATAGCAGCTTATGATGGCCCTACCCACCGATGTGTGTGTGTGCGCAGGATCTATCGATGGATGTGGAAGTTAAGGGAACTGTTTATTCTGCAGATGGAGTTTCCAGTACTGATTCTCCACCACCCAGCCACTAGCACTCAGCAGGTGCTCTATAGGAAGAAGCCCTTCACTGCCAATCATGGTCATTACACAGGTGAAGGAGAGGATGACTTTTAACAGCCATTGACTCTCAGTAAACTGAGGTAGAAACTCAGGTTCACAAAGTGACTTTGAGGGAGCAGTATGAGGACACAGATTAATTATTCGCAGAATGCTTTACCCAGAGCAGGAACAATACAGGGTCGGTGAGGATCTAGGGATGCCATGGTGTGGAAGGAACAAGGCCTGAACCAGGAGCCGGAAGGGGCATGGGAAAGACCACTCTGCCACACGTGATGAGTCAGCATGTGGAAGGTATAGTAAGTGTTGTGCAAAGGTTGTTGTGTAACAACCTGGCAAACAGCTGCTTCTCTATCCAGACTGATGAGCCAAAAAATGTTACTGATGCATTGCTGTCACATGTTAACATGCTGTGACGTGTGGTGACATTCAAGGAAACCTGTTCTCTTCAAACACCTACCCACCGGCACAGCAGACACCCGAGCTATGCCAAGGGCTTTGTCTTTCTCTGGTGTAAGAGCCTGGGAACAACCAGGTGGCCCCTGAAAGGGGTGCCACGTCATCTGCTCTGCATGGCTGAGTTAAATGGGGAGCTCCCACATAACTTTCCAGAAAACAGTCAACCTGTTTGTGCTGGGTGCATTGAGGGTGACCCTGGATTAATGGAAGTGACAGAAGCTTCATTTCCCTGTGGCTGCAAGGTGAGCACTGGGAGGACGGCTGAGGCAGTTTAGCCACCACCCCCAAATGGCTTCAGCCCCAGGCAAACAGGGATAGGTGAGGTGCCTATCTGAGCCCACCTGTGTCTAACCAGTCCCAGCATCAGCAACTGAATCCTCTGGACCACGAGGGAGTGTGTGTGCCCAGCCCCTCACAGATCGCCTAAGCATAAACAGGAAATTCTCCTTACACCCGGCTGCACCACATACCTGGGCACAGCTCTTCTTTACAAGGTGATGTCACATTAGACACGGACTGGTCTGGGTCGCAGATCCCTCAGGTTTCCACTATCCTCTCCAGTCCCCACAGAGAGCAGATTCTTCACTGCAGGGCGTTGAGCCAGCTCTTCCCCTCACAATGCCTGTTACAGGTTTATGAGTTACTCTTCTCCAATATGATGGGGGTTTGCTTTCACTATATATATTTGTATTTGTATTTTCTTGGGTAAGCTGAGCCCCTTGTACCTGGTCTTGAGTCAGGCAGGGGCCACACAAAGAAGAGGAGTTCCTCCCTTAGAACCAGCAGTCCAGGGATCAGGGCATCAGGGACCTTAGCA